GATGTTTGTAAAGTCTATAAACACAATGATTGAACAAACATTACTATTTCTGTGTGCACGTTTAGCTGGGCTAACCATTAGCTGTTAGCCCTGTTAGCCATTAGCAGTGTGTGTAATAGGTAATAACTCATTAAATGGTCTGTGAAAAAAATATTTTTTCCAGCGGATATCTTAGTTACAACATGATTGAGCTAGCAAAGCAGTTTTGTGTTGCTATGTGTGGTATTTATTCAGTTTTGGGAAATCACGATGTCTAGAAAGCATCAGTGGCTGCAGTTGACAGGGACAGCTAACACTAGCAGTAAAGCTAACATCAGGACGTCATCTGTTAAAAGCCTCCCGTTGTCGGATACGACATGAAACTACTCCAGTTAGCTCAATAATGTTGTAACTAAGACATCCGCTCGAAAAAAATATTTTCTTCACGGATGAGCACACGTTTGATAAAATGGAGTTAAATCTCTCAGCATCCATTTTCAAGCTCTCTGTGTGTTTGTTTCCTTGCGGACGAGAAAAGGAGGAGCACACATTTCCGAGAAGGCGTGTCCTTTTCAAAAATGCAAAAATGCTTTGTTGCCAGCCATTTTCGCCGGTGTGTTAAACACACTTTAGAAAGGAGTGTCCCCAGACTATCGGAAGGCGGAGATCTCTGATTGTCTGGTGGCGAGACTATCAGTACCCCAACTTGTAAAAGTGTAAAAAAAAAAATTCAGGGACTAAATTTAGTGATTTTTTTTGTGTGCAAATAAAAAAGATGCACAAAAAATGGGTGGATGGAAATGCACCTTATAAGGAACAGCTAGTAAACCTTACAAAATGTCAGACAAACAAATGCTTTAAAGGTCCATGAAGACTAAGTGTTGATGCTGCAGAACAGCTCCCACTCCCTAGCAAATACTGTACTTATGGACTGGGGTTCTTATTCTTATCCTTGATTCACAAACTGGTTTCACCAACAGGACAGGGTTGCTGACATCTTGAAAAAGCCCAGCTCAGGAAGCACACGTTACACACAGTACTAGCTCACTTTTAGGCATTTAACATCAAAGAAGTCAAGGTTTTAACTAAATACAAGGTTAGAGTACAACAGTTCACTGTATTTAATTTATAATAGTTTTATAAAGACAAATAACACCAGGTTCATGATAACAGTCATTTTTAATGTGGCCTGCTGTCAGAAGCTGTAGTTGGTGCTTATGACTATATTTTGTATCACTGTTGCACAGATTGAAAGAGGCAGGTGGTGCCTCGCAAAATGAACCTAATGATTGCTCTGCAGAGAGTTACAGTAAAATAAAATATTTATCATGATGACTCAGATGTACCAACACAAGACTCACTGAGTGATAAAAATAAAAAGTATTTGCTCACATATCCAAGTAGAAGAATAGTGAGGTGACATTGTTTTTAATTATGTGTTTGTGCAAAGTTAACTTAAATTAATAAACCTCCAGGGATCAAAGGTTGATGGTGCGTGGAGGACTTGGCTGGCTGGAATAGAGGCTGCCTTTTCTTTTCAGCGTGCCATTTTGTGTTGTTCGCTTTGCTTTGTATGTATCACGTCCATGGTCACATAGTTTTGTTAGCAAAGTTTGCGTCTGACTGCTGATTAATAAGATCTCTATGGGCTCATTATCTGTGAAGTCTGTTGAGACACACTTGTAATGAAGAGCATACTGATGCACTTGACTTTAATAAATTAAGGAGCAAATATCTCAGTGCGGATACGAGCACTGCAGAAACATGCTGTTCCTGTGAACCAATCTGTTGATGTATTTTTAATGCAGACAAAGTCAGAGCATATATTGATTTGTAACTAAGAAATGTTATGTAAAGGTTTATTCTGACTAAGATACCTGATGCTCAGTGAACTTTAAACACCAGACAAACACCATCAGACTGCAGTGTCTGCAGACACATCTGATCTGTTATTTATTCAAAAACACTGTGGGCTTGGACTCAATAAGCTATCTCATCAGTGAACTGCTCAAAAAGGTTTCTACTCCGTCTATTATTATCCCTCCCTCTGGACACTTGTCTACGATCAACAAAGACAGAAGGCTGATTACACCTCCACACATGTGCATACATGTAAACAGGCACACCTCACAAAGAAATGCACTCTTCCCTCTCTATCTGACAAAAAAATCAAAGGAAGTCATTTCTGAAAACTTTGCTAACCGAGCTGGAGTTACACAACAGTAGTGTGGGTGGGTTTTTTTTTCCTTTTTTTTTTTTTTTTTTGATGCCTGGTTCTCTGGGTGAGGTAGGAGATCATTTCATAACACATCCTTAGAGAAGCAAGCACAGAAATGGTTCGCTGGCATAAAAAAGGCAGGAATGGATATGAAAAGCATGGATGGCTTTGACTCTGGATAGTTTGAATCACTCTTGAACGAGAGCTCTGAAACCCACACATCGACCTGGGAGGGCAATATGCTGTATGCAGCGTGTTGCTACACCACCTACAAGCTTGAAGACACACACAAGTGTGTTCTCACACACACACATGCACATATTTTGCTCTCATTTCACCTCATATAGCAAAAAAATAAATGGTCAACTTTCCAGCCAGATCTTTACTGAGTGGACACTTTATTTTGTAGTGGTACGAACTTGAGGCGAGAAAGGTGTTCATTTCTAAAACTAAACTGAACAAGACATGAAAGAAAGAGCAAAACAGTTGTCTGAACAGGAAAGAACTCTCTCACGACCTCAACAACCTCAGCTGCTGTGTTTCCAGCTTTGTCGGGTGCTCCAAAGAGCATAAATGGCAGTATTGCAGTGGGAAGCCAGTGGGGGATCATGTTGCTTTACTAGCATGGGCAACTCCAACTGGTTGGTTGGAGCACTTTTATGAAGAGACTCTGACAAACATGGAACCTCCCAAGCTGACAAGGAGAGGTGGCAGTGGTGAGGACTGTGGAGGAGTAAGTGTAATGTAAGTTGGGAGGGAAGAGGACACACAATCTGACAAAACTGACCATTATAACAAAACAGAATCTTAACTGTAATGTCAGGATCAGTGGAAATAATTTTAATAAAGCAGCTAAAATATGGATAGGATGGATGACAGTAAAGTATAACACCAGTGCCACTCTGGTCCTTCTGTCTGACCTCCTCCACTTTATAGTCCTGCTGCCTCAGACTGATATAAAACGCATGATTAGTACATTTTAAACGATTTGAAATATTTAATGACTTAAATGGATTGGATGGATACTTTGAGGTGGAAGACCTGATTAATAAAATGGGAAAAGGGAGTGCCATGCCCCCCAGCTGGTGAAAACAATTGAAGGATGATATTACTGTCTTTAAAAGGCTGTGGTGCAATTGTATCTTGTGAACTACACAAACCTAAGGCATCCACTGGTACCAACTATAGTGGCATAGCTTGTCGGGGAGGGGGCTAAATAACTCTCCAAAATTAGGCTAAAGTTTGGAGACAAGACAGCTTGCATTGCCACTTTTAAAGGAGTCGCCTTAACTCTCACCTCAGGATGACTAAAAATGGGTTCTAAGGTACCCATCAGTCTCCTCTAAACTCGGGAGGGCTTGTCACTGTTTGGTTCCGTAAAAATCAATGTATATGTCAAATTAAAGCAGTATGTTTGACTTTCTATGGAAAAGGACAACCGACCAATTTGAATAACAATGAATTGCCTTACAAGTATTGGAGGAGTCGTGTTTAAATTTGTTGGTAATCACATAATTTACGGACTTTTCTCTATCTGTCTCTTCAGTATGTGCACCCTCCAAACGTGGTGACGGCGCTGTCCTTTAAGTTTATGTGCATAATACCTGGCAAAGAGAAGGCAGGTGACAGCAGACACTGTCATTGACCTCAGCCTCAGCATCACCATAGCCATAAGCTCCGCGGTTGAGTGGAACCAGCAAACACTACAGTTACATGTGTTTAGGAGGCACTGAGCATATGACTGGATAAATGAGACTGGAGTTATAGCCTACTGCAGGAGTTGTGACTTTGTAAACAGATATTTTGATATAGTTTTGCTGTTGTTAAAATGGCCCCCCTTTTGCTTCAATTTACCAAGAATTTTTGGATTCTTCGTTCACTGTGGAGGCATGCGATGTTTAGAGGATTTGCAAGTCTTAACAAGATAAAGACAGTAGGCTACAGCCTTGTTAAAGGCACGTTGAGTCTGTACTTATGGTAGGTATAGTGGTGATTTGAGCTATATGCTAACATGCTGGTGCTTATCAGGTAATGCTTACCATATTCACCATTTTCACTTTAGCATGTTAGCAGGCTAACACGTGTTAAATAGCACTAAAATACAAGCTGATGGGAATGTAGTTTTGCAGGTATTTGGAAGAAGATTAGAGGTATTACACATGCTCAAACAAATCCTTAACTACACAACTTTAAACTGAACTGACTATAATAAAGGATCATTGTCACTGAACGAATCAGTAGTGTCAACTAAGCCACATTTTTCCACCTCTCACATCAACCAAAATACTGTATTGGACCAATTCTGTGTAAGATGAAAAGTTAAGGAATCACAAAAGTCATTTCGGGGGAGGGAGATTGTGTGTGCCCAATTTAATGGCAGTCTATCCAATACTTCTGCAAATATTTCACACAAAACCACATGTAGCATCCTCATGGTGACACCAGAGAAAAAGCCAGCAATGTTAATAGGATTCATCCTCAGAGAACTATGCATGTCTGTATGTAACGTTCTCAAAAATCCATCCAATTATTGTCTGAAAACAAAGAGGGGCTGTACTCTCCTACTGATTTCCACACAAACAAGCTGAAGGCTGACAATGGCTTGGATATAACGGTTCAAAATCATCTTCGGCAGTGCTGGCAACAAGACAACAACAACAAAAAAAATTATCATCTGCTCCTTCAGTCTTTCTCTTCCTATAAATGGGACCTAAGAATAAATGCACTGCACACATACAAAAAGCTGGTGACGAATCCTCCAGGCTGACATGAAAAGGATGGTTTGTTTAGGTAACTAACTAGAGCAACAAGAAAGGTGATGGAGCCAATAAAGTGAGGACACAAACATGATGCTGGAGAAGGACAGAACATTCACAGAACACACATTACAGTGCATGCTCATATGATCCTGTCAAAAGAGACACTAATTTGCCACCTACATCTTAAATGTAATTACCCTCAAAACAGAACAGCAAGAAGAAACATCTCAACAAACTAACTATAATCTTTAATCATGAGCAGACGACAACACCACAACTGTCTGGGAGCTCTATGGATTATAGACCATGGTGTTTGGAATATGTAGTTCAAGGTTATTTTATGTTTCCTGCCTGTCAGATTTGAGCGACAGCCTACATATGTGGCTCCTAATGAGGAAAGGCATTTATAGAACACGAGGAAGGAGAGTGAGCCAGAGAGCTAAACCTTAAAATAAAACATGTTATTCTCGGAGAGAGTGAAGCTTCCTGCTAAATCAGCCCCCTCTTTCCTGCTTATTCTTTTATCCCTCGTGTTTTTAATTGCATACTGTCTCTCCTCCACTGTATGCCCAGTCTTTAACATTTCCTCTGAATGAGGCAATGCACCACAAATGGATGCTGCATATTCAATCATATTGGGAAACCATTGTTGCCTCAGCTATTCATTTGTCAACTAAGGTGACCTCTTTTAATAAGAAATACCTAATATGCTGACTTTATATGGCTTCCATATTAAGTGAACTGTAATGCAATGGCAGGGACAATAACAATATTATGCTATTCAATATTGATTTTTATTTGATTTATTGTATTTTTCTATGTAGATCGTGGTATTGTGGGGACCATTGTGGGCTCCATTCAAGCACATTTTTGGAAGGAGCACATTTTTCTACCTAAGGGATGGTCTTACAAACATTACCATGCTCCTCCACTAAAACATCTGCATGATTAAATATTTAGACTGGTAAACAAACATTTAAGAGCAGACATAAAACTTTCCTCTTTGATAAAGCTTATAGTCAGGGCTGGCTCAGGCTTGCATCAAACCAGCCCCTAGTTAGCCTGATTTAGGCCCAGTCTGCTGGGGTACTTCTGATGACACACTGAGCCCCTTTTCTTCTTCCCTCTCTCTCCATTTTCAAGCATTCATGTCCCATTAATGCATGTTGCTAATTTGGGTTCCTCCCCAGAGCTCTTTTGCTTTCTAGTCATGGTTGCGCTGCTGCCATGGTCCTCTGCTATTATTATTATAATCATAGGCTACTTCTACTGCTATTATACACATGTGATTATTATTGTAACATACATATACTATCATATTGAATATATATCAATTAATTAATTTGTTCTCTGTAAACGCTTATCCTGTTGGGGGGTCGCAGGGGGCTGGAGCCTATCCCAGCTGACATTGGGCAAGAGGCGGGGTACACCCTGGATAGGTCGCTGGACTATCACAGGGCTGACACATAAAGACAGACAACCATTCATGCTCAAATTTACACCTACCTATACCAATTTAGAGTCACCAATTAACCTGCATGTCTTTGGACTGTGGGAGGAAGCTGGAGTACTGGAGAAAACCCACAATGACACTAGGAGAACATGCAAACTCTGGACAGAAGGGCTCCCCCACCCCAGGTACAAACCAGGAACCTTCTTGCTGTGTGGCAACAATGCTATCCACTGTGCCACTGAGTATATACTGTACTGTACTGCACAGTACCACCGTCATGTAAATTAAAAAAAAAAAGTACATTTAAAATACCTTGACTCTCCCACACCACCATGATGTTGATGGACGCGATGAAGGTGATAACAAGGATGATGATGAGAGGACAAAGATGGCACCAGTGACAACAAACACATCTTGTCTGATGATGGAGGTCATCTGAAGACAGCCTGGATTGGAAATTAACACTAAAAAGTCAATTCTTTTTGCCTCTGGTAAAAGCAAAATAACCCATGAGTAAAAAATGCAGTCATAAATTCTACATATTACAATACACCACTCACCTTCCAACCAGCAGAAACTCTCCCACCAGACGCTGCCGTCTCATGGCCATCAATATGCCTCGGACCGTCATACCCTCGCAGAAGCAGGCCACAACCCTGGCTTTGGGCAGGTGGGCTCGTAGCTTCTGCAGCAGCTTATCAAAGCTCTGTGCCTCTGCGTTGCTGTATATTTTATCAGAGTGGGCGATGCAGATCCCCTCCTTTGCTGCCATGTCCTTAAATGCCTCCATACCACTTTCACCATAATTACCTGAGGGGGAGAATACATGAATGAAGTGTATTAAAAAACACACCGTACTGCACACACAAAACCTGGGGGCTGTTATTTAATTAAACTAATACTCTTTTAAAAAGCAGTTAAGATATCTGGATTTTTTTTGTCGGCATTTCAATTTAATTTCACCACCTGCTATTCCACTCTACTTTGTTCACATGGTTATGTTCTGCAAACATTTATGCAATTTTTTTGTTTTGTGCTTCCCACACTTTCACTCCTGTACAAATGCTTTGGTGTGATCTCTTTATACACACACACAAACACATGCACACACAGGGTGAAATAAACTGGTGTAATGTCAGCACGACACTTGAGAATCGAGTAAAATTGTCCCCATTATGGTAACTGTCAGGGGTTACACTTCCCTGTTTATGCTGGAAATGAGGTCACCTACTTTCTGTTGCTTAGTAAGTGTACTCCTACCCTGGGCATGATACCATTTGACGCATATTTTTCATTACTAAGTGTGAGTTTTACCCCCATATGTGGCATGCTTCCTTAAGTAGTAACATCTTTCATTATTCAAACTGTATTTTCACCTCAATTCAACTCTGTTAAATGTTGCTGATGCTGATTTAATATTTCTTTCCTTTATTCTAACACTCCAAGAGGACTTCTAAACCTTTTCTGCAGCCAACATTGTAATTAGCACTATTTTGTAAAATGGTATAAAATGTATAAAATGAAATGTAAAGTAAACTGAGCAGTACAGTGTTTGATAACCACATAACAATAACCCCTGGGGCAACAGTATATGTGGAATCTTTTCAGCTCTGCACTTTGGATTTTTGTGCTTTAGTCAGTGCTGCTGACCATTTTCAAGCAATTTATGTGTGTGCTTTGTTAATGTGGGAGAGCTGCAATCATTCACTGGGTCATAAACCTTGTCATTAGTTTATGCAAATGTCGTGCAGAGTAACAAGCAAGGTGCATCTGCATTTGACAGATAGGACATTATAATTGCGTGTAGACTGCCAAGGACGTGCACTTTGTGTCTAACCATTCATAGAGATTAGAAACTCAAAACCAGAGACAGGCGTACAATCTTAACTTTATGTAATTTTGCACAGAATGTTTGCCTTGTTCGGTTGTCTTGCAGCAAGTTAGTAAAAATGTCTGTCTAAGTAGTGTCAGATTAATAATACAAAAAGATATATGAATAAATAAAACATGTAAAATAACATACATAAAATAACAAATGTGCAGTCATTTTGACAACATCCCACCGCCTACTGGACTCAGTCAAGATAGCGTGCGACATAAAACATAGGCTTTTCTTACAATAAGAGCTACCCATGACACAACACAAGGTTTGTATCCTGGGAGAGAACATTTAGCATACTTTTTTTTTTTTAAATCCTCCCCTACAACAGTTTTTTATTTATATGGAATAAACTGGAATGATCCAGTCAGGATTTAGCACATTCCTATCAAGAGGGATTTATTTCATAAACATATGGCCTCGAGCCACTAAGAGGTTAAAAAAGAAGCAGTAAATTGAACGAACAGTATGGAATATTCAGGTATTTTTGGTACTTGCTAATGAGAATAATTCACAACAAATACCATGTATTTTGTTTCTAAATAGGAGGGATTGGTGATTCAGGGGCTGGATCTTTTGAAGTTGTGATAACTGTGTATTTTGATATTGCCTAGATGACCACAGCGGGGGGTGGGGGTTGCTCTGAGGTAAGAGTTGAAGTTAAGCCTTATATCTGTGCTACAAAATATCAAAGATTCTCTTTTGGTAACAGAAAAGGAAAATGCACTTTTGTTCTGTAGCCATCCATCACACTGTCCACAAAGGACAACCATAAAGATGGTAGTTTCGTAACTCACCTGTACCTTTCACTGAATCAAAAGTAGCATATAGATAGGACACTAAAAAAATAAAAAGATAAAATGCAAAACTAATAACAAGCAACTGCTGTGAGAATGTGACCAGTGGCTAAAGCATCACTGAAATCAGTGTACCATGTGTAACAGAGTACCATGACACCCACAGAGTTCAAAGCCCATGGCAGATGTTCCCTGAGAAGCTTTTCCAATGATGAACAGGATTACAGAGAATATATAATCAGAGCTAATTTCATATGAATGTCATATATATGCCACAGATATAATGGCCAACGCTGTACAGTAACAACTAAAATCAGAGGTTTTACAGGAGAGTGACTTCATGCATAGTATGTGTGTGTATGTGTATCTGTGTAAAAACTCCAGCTGCACTCGCTGCACCTCACACCCAAAATGATAAATGGGATTCGGCTGAATTTCCCCTACTGCATGCTGATAGGAGGTCAGGAAGTAAATGTAAAATGTTCCACCTCTACTCTGTCAGATGGAAAACGGAAAACTACTGAGAGGAGTCAGGCACTGTCCACAATAGTGCAGACACATGGGTTTCTCAATTTCTGACCAAATTCTCTCAAAGAAGAAGAGACAATATCATAAACCCCACAGTGTATTCAACTACCAAAGATTGTACAGATGCAACTGATAAACTGGCAAGATTATAAATTTTGCTGAACAGACCAACAGGGCACTACCCTGGGGCCCAAATGTTTTTTTATCCAGATGTGTCAGCAAGTGCAACTTTACTTTATAGAGACAAGTAAAACCCTTTGCCTTCTTTGACTGATTGGAAACTGAATCAAAGCATACTGAAATTAATGTAACAGACCTTGCCTGAGTGCATTGTTCTTAAAAATACAAGATGTTAACGCAGAATTCCCCCTAAAATGTTGCTTAATTCAAGATGACTGTCCAATGACTAACTAGTTACAGTGATATCTTGCATCTCTACTAAATGCAGGCAATTGTTCTGGTTTGTGAGTCTGAAGTCCTAACATATAGCACTTTAAAGAATGGGCCTACAGGGCACAAGCCCTGGGGCCCAAAGTGTAAGGGGGGCCCCCTGGCCTTCATCTGCAAAATGGCACCGAAATTAACACGTACTGTCCAAGAAGAGATTCAAAATGATTGCAGAGACCTGCAAAGGAACTGCAAACACACACAAAATGACCTCAGAGGGGTACATGACAAATACAAAGAGACACAAAACCACAAAAAGATGCGTTATGACTACAAAAAGATGCAAAACAACACCACAAAAAGAGGCTAAACAACTATAAAGTGTGTGTGTCTTGCTCCTAGGCAGGAGACGTAGGGGGGGGGCTTTTACATATCTGTGCCCAGGGATCCATTGTCTGATAATCCGTCCCTGCTCATCCATGTGTAAACCATGATGAGAGAGGGAGATGAAAGGAGAAAATGTAAAGCAGTAGCATACATGCATACACATATACAGCCTTACCCTCTGTATGTATTGCGGACACGTAACTCCAGTTGTATTTCTTGACAATGTCCACCATGGCTTTGGCCTGTTGCATATCTGATGGCACCACCCTCATGAAATATTTATACAGGCTCTGTTGGAAGAAATTTACATGTTCACAAGTCTGGCAGTATACATGACAGCCTGTCCTTCAGTTTTACATGCACCCATAATAACCCCATACTATAAACCTCATTCCATGTAAATTCACTGCACATTTGCTTTCAGATGATTTTTTTGACACCAAGGATGTTTGTACTGATAACTGAATTTTCGGTGCATGCCCTGCTGCAATGTCACAGTCTGTCTGCTGTCAGTTTAGCAGGCTTCAGGCCATTTAATACAGATCAGGTACACACATACTGTCTTATTTTAGATTCTTAAACGTATTCTGCCTGGCCTCCCTTCACCAACCTCTTATGATGGTTGTTTATGTTAAAAATCGTCCTTGAGATAGGCAGAAAATGTCTGCCTTTTTGTTGTTGTCATGGTTGCAAGTCAAGTTACTTTGTTAAGTTTTTGACGTACAGTGCAATTCAAGTAAAAGCGGACATAAAGTCTGTTCAAGTTGAATTTCTACAAACTCAAAATCACTACCTGCCTCAAAAGACTGAAAAAAAATCCCAACATTTGGTGAAGATCTTTTTAGTGCCTTGTATTTCAGTGGTTTAAAGTTCGACATTTTCTCAAGTTTTGATGTAATGTTTTTGTTACCTGGCCTTACCTTGTCACTGAGATCCATGCTGGTGGCTGAGTAAGCTATCTGTGGGATGTTGAAGAGCTGGAGGAGATTTTGCACCTGGATGGCCACAGAGCTGGATCCTGGTCCAATCAGCCCCACAATGGGCTTCTTCCCCTGCACCAACAAGCTCCCTGCCTCTGCAGTACACCTGCCCTGGCTCTCCTCTTCTTCGTTGGACACCAGCGTGTCCCGAATGAACTCAATGCTCTGCTCCAGCGCCACTGCAGAATGCCAACATGAGTCCCTGGTGTAGAAAGATTGAGATCACAATGTTGTTTGGGCAAGCAGGATGGGAAAAAAGAGGATCGCTTGGAGAAGCCAATTGGATGCTTTTTAAGAACACAGTCTCATGCTTTTGGGAAAAACACACTTGACTAACACAATTTTTAGAGCAGTAAGAAATCTGCAATCTAAAGTTCAGCCAAAGCTAATAAGAGCTTTCAGCAGTCTGAGTCAGTCAATACAAGCTGGTATCTTCCAGAGTCTTTTTAGTACAAATTGACCTTTTTTTTTTTGTTGTTGTTGCTTAGCTGCGGCGGACAGATATTTCCTGGTAGTGACATGTAGGTCTGTTGCTGGGGCACAACATCAGAAACATCAGCTTCATATTAGCTTCACCTGGACTTTAGAATGAGTTTTTGTGCTGTGGATTTTGTCCTTCATTTTTTTCCAGTGTAGTGGTGCTTGGAAAGGATCACTTCACAGCCTGTATGGAGAGGCAGAATGATAGTGGCAATCATCTCATCATCCAACATACATGTGGCGTTTGAATACTGTAATAGCCTCAACTTGAAAAAAATCCAAATCTTTCTTTTGAGTTTTAGATTACTGAGGCAATAGCTCCAGCCTTTCCTTGTCAGTGGGTCAGATTGACCTGTTGGTGTGACCTGTAGGATTTAAAACCTCAAATTCTGGTTCAGTGCATGGTACTGTAAATGGATGCCTGTTTCTGTCTGGTCTGCCTACACTCTTAAGTTAGCTGTCAGTGCTGTCTTATGACCTCCAGCCACTGTTCACCTGTCTGTATCCAGCCCTCTTCAGTTACCTACAGCCTCTCAGGAAATTCACCTGCTCCTTCAAGGTTAACACTTTACATTGCGGTACATGAAAATCTATGCGTGTAGACAAGCCTTTGCCTTCTTTGATTGATCGGAAATTGAGTGAAAGCATGCTGAAATTAATTTAACAAACCTTGAGTGAATTGTTATTTATTTTTATTGTTAAAATTACATGTTGTAAATGCAGAATCCTTCCAAAAATGTTGCTTCATTTGGGATGGCTATTCAGTGACTAACTAGTTGCAGTGACACTGAACATCTCTACTAAAATCAGGCAGTTGTCATGGTTTGTGAGTCTTAAGTCCTTACATATCATACTTTAAAGAAGCAACACTTTAATGCCAAATCTCTGGGTTTTATCCCAACCTGGGTGCGATATATTGTATGTTTAAATTGTCAACTTTTACAAGATTGTTATCTTACACATGGTAATCTGTGCTGTCTAAGTGATTTGTTAGCCCTCCTAATTCAACAGCAACGGTCACAAATGATATTACTTATTAAGTTTTGGGATTGGTTTCTGACCTGATCTCGCAGCCCAGGGTGATATTTGGGAGGATAGCGGGGTCTGCGTTGATTCGATCCAGAGTGTGCATCATGGCCTCCACTCTCTGGATCCCATACTGCTCACGCACTGCACCACACTTTCGCTCATGTACCTGAGCAAAGTGTAACATAGCTTAGATTAATAACATTTACACACATGGACAAAATATGCACACACACACTTAAGCACACACAGCATACCTTGTCCGCAGGTGGTTGGTGGTGGACAGAGAACAGAGCTCCTATGATGATGTCGCCAGGGATGTGTGTCAATATCCTTCTCTCAGTGTTCTGGGCGTTAACCCCGACCTGGTCTTTCAGGCCCAGCCAGCTCAGATCAGCTCCCAGTAACACAATCACCGCCAGCAGCCTCACATGTAGCCCCGGTCTATTTCCCATCCCTGCGTTCCTCCTTACACCTCCTGACATCCTCTGTCCTCTTAGAGCTGAGGGTCTGATGAATGTGAGGTCTCTGGCATGGTGCTTGTAGTGCCTTGGGTAAGGGTTAGATTCCTGAGGAAAGGGATAGGGATTGGGAATGAATGAGCTCAATAGGTAAGCAAGTGTATATGTTTGTCACTAAAACTTTTACATACTCAGCCTAGTCAGCATATGTAATATAAGCACAGCAGCCATTTGGAACAAAGTAAAATAGGTTTGGCTATTTATTCACAAATAGTAGTTTATCTAAAAGTTTCTCTTACTTTCCTCCCTAAAAATGACAAGTTGCTGTCCATGGTGCTGAAATGATTTTGGCTTGGCATCATGCAACTTGAAAAAATGATCTAAGCAGGTGGTCCAATGAAGAATTAACAGCCTCTATAAAACTCTATTATCTCATCAAAGAATCACTTCATTGTTGCGCGCATCTCATCCCCCAAACTAACAGACAACTTCAGCCTACCTCTTCTCTGCCAGCAGCCTCGCAGATGCCATTTCTTTCGAGATCGTTTCCATCACAGAAGAGCAATGAGGGGAAAAAGCGCTGGTTTCTGCTCAAGCTCAGTCTGGCGCCTGGTTACAGCAAACTGCAAATAGCAGCAGATAATATAGCCCGTTACTGGAACATGTTTGACTTACTGACGCACACGGCGGCCCCCCTCCTTCTCCACCTCCTCCTCCTCCTACTCCAAAACAGTGGAGAGCATGGAGCATCAACAGTGACTAAATGAGCACAACTGTGGAGAGCTATGGGAGGCGAGCGTGTAAAAAAGAAAGAAATGTGTAAGAAAACAAATAAGAGAGATAAACGGTAAGAATTCACATCCTTAACAAATACTACTATGGGATGTCATGATGTGGAGGCGACTGGCTAACAATGAATGCGGTTTTCTTTTTCTCTTGCACTTAAAGTTCCTGCTGACCCCCTCGTCTGTTTTACGCTTTTGATGTGACTGCGACTAGAAATGATCAGACACTGAAATGAGATACTTCCATTTAATTGAAAAGCAGATTTCGGGAAGGACCCCCGGATACTTCCCACACCCAATAAAAACGTAAAAATAGAAGGGCACTTTTATTCTAACAAAATTAAAGACATTTATGGCATAAAATGGTGCGCAAAGGGCACAAAACGGTGCGTAAAAATCACCAGAACGCAGGAAATAAGGGAAATCGTCTAATACAAACTTAACCTACGCCCTTTGTTACATTTAATAATCCAGTTTCCAGAGTCCCTTGTCCCTTTACTGTCACTTTCAAAGATAAAAACAGTGCCTATCTAATGTTTTTGGTTTGGTATCAATGGTTTTGTAAGAAAACAAAAAGGCTTTTCATTAAATTTGTCGTTAAAGTCTCCAAATAGTTAGAGTTCTTCTGAGCTTCATGGAAAAGACAGGACAGAAGAGAGAAATTGTAATTGAATGCACTTCTACTGCAACTCTTCCCAAATTTGTCAGGAGACCCACTTTAAAAAAAATCAAAGTCATTTAAACATCAAAAACATTCAGTGCTACAAAACCATAAACTCTATTTTCTAAGCTGCACAGGCGAGGAGTGATCTAATAAAGAGGCAAATTATGAATAGGTGAAATACAAAGTAGTCTCTCCAAGTATTATGTAATTGAATTATAATGTGTGATTTTGTGACGCTTGGCTTCATCTGTATTCTAAAACTAGAAGAGAAACAACAGAATCTGGCACTAGCAAAGCACAGTGACAACAGAGAGTGAAATGTGCAGTATTTTGATTTTATATTATTGGGTCTAGTGTGTGTATGAATGCATTGGGCACAAAGAGTGGTCCAGCTGATCAAGTGGAACATAATGTTTTAACTTAGAAAGGCTACACCATATAACCCCTGTTAATCTGTGCAGTTTGGGCAAAATGAATTCATCTATGACAGGAGACGAAGTCACAGTAACTCATTTCCATTCCAGTAATTTCATCAGACATGGGAACACCTCCACAATGTGTAGGTGACTCCAGTGGTGTCTGGTATAAGATGCAGGGATCATCGGAGCTTTCAGAAGGCTCGCAACTAAATAACAACATGTCAGGTTACAGTTACTGTAATTAGCACAGCGAGAGTGAATAATGTGAATGTTTTGCACGCTAAGATGTGTGACTCATTTCCAACAATAATCTTTTCAGGGGATGTTTGGAAAGTCCAATCAAACGGAGGTCAGAAGTGTGATTGATGATGTTTCTTCATGAGGGATTCATTACTTTGAGTCAAATGAATTCATGTCTGCCTGCAAAATTCTGGTTTGTTAGTTGCCTGGGGAGACAGAGACAGAGAAGGTAGCCTTGGTGAAATGTCATTTATAGACAGAATGGTGTTGGAGGTAGTCGCATGGCGCCCTCTGGTGGAGACTCATTTGCAGTCATGGACTACTCATCCTTTAAATCACATGCAAATAGTTCCACAGTCATTCGACTAAAGGTTAAAAGATCAGGGTGCACAGTGGATGTAGTTTCAGGTGTAGAGAGCCATGTGAGGCAGCAGCACTGAAAGAGCTCACAAGTCATCAAAGGTTTCTTTTGAGAAAGCTGCGTCAAATGCGAACACGTTTTCTCGCCTCAGGCAGTGGCTTGCTTTTATCATGCTTTGCTCATCAGCTTGTTCTCAGAAGATCTTCTGATTTAAGTTGTGGTGAAGACTTAAAGTATGTGGGGCCATAAGACCACGTGAAATACCAAGAAAATAAGAGTATACTGTATATATGTTTGTAATATACATATCATCCAATATAATACATGCAATACACATATTTATATTTTAATTAAGGCATTTAATAATGTCTTTGAAGTCTGACACAGGCTTATTATTCATTAGTTTATACCTGACCGCAGTATGTAAAAATAATTAAGCCATTTGAGGTTGAAAAGTTAATTTGTGGTGACTATGTGGTTCCAATACTGTCATAGTGACTTTCATGCCCTAATGCCACAAATAACAGTTTACTTTATTTGAGGTAATGTGTATGTGTGTGTGTGTGTGTGTATGTGTGTGTGTGTGTGTGTGTGTGTGTGTGTGTGTGTGTAGTGAGATCATGAGTTACGCCTGTTTTATGCTCATGACTGGGAGTAGAAAGCAGACCACATTCTCAGCAGAAAATCACTGTAAAATCACTGTAACTAAAGTATGGGCTTCTTCTCAGTTCTCCTCATATACGCTTCATAAGTTCATAAGCAGGGGCGTAGTGGATGTGGGGTACACGGGGCACATGGCCCCCCAGCTGCTGTATCTGTGCCCTATGTCCCCTGCACTTTTCCACGCTGTGAATTGAGTTTGACAGCCATTTAATTCATTTTAACAAGTCAGAGCTTGTATCTCCAAGTTGTCCTGTATGCACCGTGAGGCAAAGTGCACACTTGCTGCTTCTGTTGCCACTCTAAGGGCCGAGTGGGGAGGACGTACTGTATGTTTGAACAAAAATGTGCTGCAAACAAGCCAGCAAGAGGCAGAAAAACCTTGCACTCTTTCTTTATATCAAACCATGTCAGCTGAGTTATGTGATTTTTGGAGTTAGCTGACATTAAAAGATGACTGCTCTTCCTAGTCATCAGATGGTTTTGGTTGTTTGGTTTGGTTCCTTAGCCATTAGGGAGTAGCGCTATTGAAAGGGAGAGAATATTTCAATAAATGATTTTAAAAAATCATCTTACTCCAGAACAGTCTGTCCCCCTCATATCTGAAATAATGGCTATGCCCCTGTTCATAAGCTTCTATATGCCTGTCAGTGAGGTTTTTGTTGTCTTTCAGGTGATATTTTCTTTATCTGTATCATTATATAATATAAGTGATAAGCCCAAGTGGAGATTTAACTTTCATTAGGCCACCAAATACAAATCACATCACAGAAATGCTTCACAAATTTGTTGAGTATTTCCCTTTTTTCATCAGGAAAGACTCGAGCTGCAGTCTTGGGATGTGTGCACTTCTAATTGGCCCCCTCATGAAGTATGCTTCACCCTGAGGTTAAGCGGCATGTGACTGGCTCAACAGAGAGGAGGGGGCACCCGGAGAAAACTCCCAAGAATTTAAGCCTGTGAAAGAAACACTCGGGCCTTTGAGCATTCGTGACTACTTGGCATCTCTAAAGCAAACCTTGCTGTGATGTGGCCACTTACAATCATTAGTCTCTTGTTGTGTTTTGTGCCCTCCTATCAACAGTTCCCCCGTCTGTGTGCCACCCGGGAGGCCTTGCGCATAAAGGAATGCTGCCCGCCTTGGGAAGGAGACGGTTCGCCCTGCGGAGCCAGCTCGGGTCGAGGCTCCTGCCAGGATGTGGAGGTGCCGGACCGGCCGGACGGGCCGCAGTTTCCCTTCTCGGGGTTGGATGACAGAGAAAAGTGGCCCTTGGTTTTCTACAACCGGACTTGTCAGTGCGCGGGGAACTTCATGGGTTTCAACTGCGCGGATTGTAAGTTTGGCTTCTTCGGGGTGAACTGCAATGAGAGGAGAGAGTCTCTCAGGAGGAACATATTCCACCTGTCCCGCGCCGAGAGGATTCGGCTCGTGTCTTATCTCAACTTGGCCAAGCAGACAGTCAGCAGAGACTATGTTGTGGCCACTGGGACCTACCAGGAGATGGTAAACGGCTCCAACCCGATGTTCGCTGATGTGTCTTCGTATGATGTCTTTGTGTGGATGCATTACTATGTGTCCAGAAACGCGCTGCTCGGCGGGCCGGGGAATGTGTGGACCGATGTGGACTTTGCCCACTGGGCGCCTGCATTTCTGCCGTGGCACCGCGCGTACCTGCTGCACTGGGAGCATGAGATCAGGAAGCTGACCGGAGACATGAGCTTCACCATCCCGTACTGGGACTGGAGGGATGCCCAGGGATGTGACGTGTGCACGGACGAGCTGATGGGGGCCCGCAGCCCCCAGGATCCCAGTCTCCTCAGCCCAGGCTCGGTTTTCTCTTCTTGGAGGGTAAAGAGGGGCTGCCACAGTTATTCTGTTCATCCTTTTGCTTTTACTTTCCTCTCTTTTCTTTTCTCACCCACAGTTATGGTTTCAAGTTCAAGTTATGTATTATCATTTGCACAACAATTACAGAGAAGCAGCAGTTGGTAATAGGAATCATAGACCTCCTTCAAATTAATGCAAGCTAAACAAGGACTCTCAGTATATTCCTAAGTATCCCCAAGTATAGGCATAAAATTTAACATAATAAAATATAAATATAATCATTTTTATTTGTGGTTGACAAATAATTGCAAAATGAATAAGCAGGAATATAAACAGGAATGTAGCAAATGTATATGTGTAATAATGAGAAATAATAAATATATCACGTTGAATGGGACAAATTATATTTTACATCTTGGGCTCTTTAAATATTAGCAGCCAGTCCCTAAACATCTTAAGGCATTGTTACTACAAATGTACTAGTTGTAGGTTGTTTAACTTACAAAGTATTTTTACAACATATTTAAAATGGGTAAAAAAAAAAAGAGAAAGCTAATAGGACCCTTTTCTGAAGTAAAACCAACATGTTTGTAGGCAGGTGCCATAAAATCATAACATATGTTAAGGTGTTCAGCTCTGTACAATACTGCAGACATTTTTAGTATTTTTGTCACTTGAAAATATTCAAGATAATGCAGTGAATCCATGTCAGCCCTAAGCCATCATTGCTGTACACACGCATGTCCACTGCAGACAATATGGCACCAAGAAAATGGGCAGCAAATGAACTGGAAAGCACAAGAAAAGTTGGATGATCTTTTTAATGAGAATAGTTAACTTACAAAAATGATTTAAGGAATTAAACATGTTGGGTGGCATGGTGGTGTGGTGGTTAGCACTGTCGCCTCACAGCAAGAGGGTTGCCGGTTCGATCCCGGGTGTGGGAGCCCTTCTGTGTGGAGTTTGCATGTTCTCCCCGTGTCAGCGTGGGTTCTCTCTGGGCACTCCGGCTTCCTCCCACAGTCCAAAGACATGCAGACTGGGGATTAGGTTAATTGATAACTCTAAATTGTCCGTAGGTGTGAATGTGAGCATGAATGGTTGTTTGTCTCTATGTGTCGCCCCTGCAATAGTCTGGTGACCTGTCCAGGGTGTACCCCGCCTCTTGCCCAATGTCAGCTGGGATAGGCTCCAGCCCCCCCGCGACCCTCAAGAGGATGAAGTGGGACGAAGATGAATGAATGAATGAATTAAACAAGTTATCAGAGTGAGGTAGGGGTTCTTGATGTGCTTGATAGCTTCTGAAGTATATGACTTGGCAACATATTTTCAAGCTGTAAAAGTAACTCTCATATGGTATGCCGTTTGTAATGTGGCTCACGCTGAAAATAACATCAACATTTTGCCAAATTTAGCTTCAAACAATGTTTAAAAAAGTACTGTGAATTTTTTAACGTCACCTTTTACCACATTTACAGCAATATTTGTTAACTTAGAAATATATTAAATAGTTAAATCTAAATATTAAATGTGGCACCTAAATGTTAAATGTTAAATCTAAATATTAAATCTAAATCTAAATGTTAAATCTAAATGCTAAATCTAAATCTAAATATTAAATCTAAATCTAAATGCTAAATCTAAATCTAAATGTTAAATCTAAATATTAAATATAAATCTAAATGTTAAATCTAAATGCTAAATCTAAATCTAAATCTAAATGCTAAATCTAAATCTAAATGTTAAATGTTAAATCTAAATGTTCTGGGTGAAACTAAATATTTAGCTAATATGCAAATTCACACTGCCGGTCACCGGAAGTACCAAAATAAAAGCTCGAGATGGTCAGGCTGTGTTTATAGAATCAAATAACGAATTAAAACCAACTTATCGGGGGAAATGGACACTTGAACATACATTAGCGTGATAATAACTACCTAAAATAACAAGAAACATGTTTGGAGAAATTTTATTTGA